ATACATACATACATACATACATATATACATACATACATACATACATACATACATACATACATACATACATACATACATACATACATACATACATACATACATACACACTTAAGTAATACATACATAAATACATACAAACATACATGCAAACAAACATAAAAACATACATACATACATTTATCACTCATGCATACATACATACATACATACACATACATACATACATACATACATACATACATACATACATACATACATACATACATACATACATACATACATACATACATACATACATACATACATGCATACATACATACATACATACATACATACATACAAACATACACACATACATACATACATGCAATACATTCACGCATACATACATACATACATACATACATACATACATACATACATACATATATACATACATACATACATACATACATACATACATGCATACATACATACATACTTACATACATACATACATACATACATATATATACAAAAAAAAACATACATACAATTTTACACAGATACAGTCGATCTACATCCATACACACATATGGTAGAAATATGCCCGTTTTCCATCAAAATGGTTTAACTCACTTTGAAGCAGTAATCTGAACACCAAGTTGTTTTTCTCAAGGCAATTTTTTTTTCAGTTTTTTCAAAAGATTTTGGAATACGATTTGAGCAGTTTGAGATTGATTTTCATTAAAACGCCCAAAAAGCTGAAAAAGGCTCAGTAAAATTGTATAGAACCGAAAAAAGTCGAACTACGTTGAACAGGTCAATTAATCTTTAGTAAAATCGAAAAAATGTATATTTTTTGATTAAGCTGAACAAAGTCGAGCGATGTCCGATAAACTCGATTAAACTCGATCAATTTCCAGTATATTCGAACGAAGTCTTTCAAAGTCAAACAAAGTCGAACAAAAATCGGTTCAGTCGAATATAATCTAAAAGGGGCATAGTTCGACTCAAAAAACCAAAAATGGACTTGGTTCCACTCAAAAGGTCAGAAACGGACATCTTTCGACCTTTCTGGCACAATCATGACTCGAGCACAGCCCGCTCAATCACCTCAGTCAAGCTCGAGTACTTGAGCACCGTCGAGCCTTTTTTTTCGGCCGAGACAGTCGAAGCATATCTTGCTTGGGTCGTGAACGGTGGAGCATATTTTTGGTCGCGTACGGTCAAAACATATGTTGCTTTGGCCGTGCACGGTGGAGTGCATTTTTGGTTGAGCAATTTCGAAACATATCTCGCTTGGGCCAATCATGGTGGAGCACATTTTTTGGTCAAGCCCGATTGAAGCATATCTTGCTTGGGTGGGCGAGACGATCGAAATATAAAGTGAGCACCTCGATCCGAGTTTGACTTGTATCAAAGTATTTGCTGCAAAAAATAAAGTAGTTCATTTGGTATCCTCAGCTAACAAGCCGACAAAAAAATTTAGATTTGAAAAATTTTACAAGGATTTTCAAAAATGTATCTCATACCTTTGATGAAGTTTTTGAGTTTGACAATTCTGAGGTTAGGCATCAGAGGGGTGAGTTTGTGTGTGTTGTGTAGCACAGAGGGGACATTAGTCTCCAAAAACCTCGTCCGAGTCAGCGACTCCGAGTTCAGATCCTTCAACGCTGAAACATGACACAAAATAAAAAGAAAGCTGCAACTATTTCGTCAAGAAAAACAACATTGAGCTTTTATTGAAGTATCTGAGAAAAAAAATTTTAAAACAAAAACTTGAGCTTTGGAGTGAAATCTCAACCTTGGATTAGGTTTTTTTAATTTTTCTCGCAGTTTCTCTAAAAATGGATCAGTCGGTCTAAAAGCGTTTCTTTAATTTCTATCCAATTTAATTAACTTCGTTTCAATTCAGCAAATTAAACTTATTTCACCTCTCACGACTCTCCTGAAGTCCTGTTCGTCTAGTTCGCAGTCCATGATCGAGATGGATCTATTTCTCTCACTGAGTGTGATGAGACACCTTGTCAAGTATCTCAGGGACAGTCTGTGCAACTCTTCTTTAGTTTTCTGCTTAGTGTCCCGTCGCTCACACTCCCAGTCGGCTAAATACACCTTTTTTTTACGTATTTTGTCGAAAGTGATTTTGATTTGTTTGTATAATGTGAAATGATTGGAAAATAATTTGGCTACTTTAAAGATTTTTTGCTGTAAAATTTCAGTTAAAAGCTGCGAAGAAGATTATTAATCATGCCATTATGAGTTTTGCTTTCAAAACAGTCGTTTTCTAAAGAAGTTTTTCACTTTCTACACTATAAAGAGGTTGCGCAGGTGTTTACAACACAAGAGTAGGCAGGCATTTAAAAAAAATCTGAGAGTTTTTTCAAGAAGTTTTACTTAAATCTGTCCTAAAATGGTAACAAAAAAGAAAACAGAAATAGGAGGGGCGTTTAACCAACACCGCCACAACCACCCTCAAATCTGCAATTAATTATATGATTAACGTTTGTTGCAGATCAACAATAGCGTAATCCCCCCTCCTCCCCCTCCCCCCTACCCCTCTCCTACCTCCTCCCCCTCCCCTCACCCCTCATCCCCCTACCCCCTCCTCCCCCTCCCCCCTCCTACCCCTCCCCCTCCTCCCCCTCCCCTCCCCCCAGCAACAACTGTTGATTTGTTGAATTACCCCGAAGTCCCCCCGTCTGACTCGCCCCCAACAACAGCAATTGTCAGATTGTTCGAGTTGGTACATGAAACTGACTTACCCAATAACTTGGAAGCATAACTGACGTAATGGATCTCGCAGTCGCGTTCCACATTTTTTGAGCTCATTTTCAATTAAATTATGATTCAATTGATAAATAATAATATATTACAAAAAATAACTTATGTTTTTCGCGCGATTGTCTTCAAGGCATTTTAGTCGCATTCGAGAAAACATCTGAAAAAACGTCTGGCAAAACAAATTAAAATAATTGATAGAAATCAAAGAAAAAATCAGTCTACCGCTGACCACACGCGACTTTCGTATGATCAGATTTATGGTTTATAATTGAATTGTTCAAACAGTTTTGACTATCATATCAATTGCTCGCAGTTTGATGGTTTGTATGTTTGCACAACAAAAAATAATCAAAAGTCGCGAATTAAGACGACTGATAGGTCATCATATCAGCCATTTTAGAACTGGTTAACAGCTTTTGTGATCACGAATTAACTTGCGGTTTAGGGCGGATCTCTGGTTTTCTCGAAAGAATTTTCAAACATTTTAGAAATTTTGTCGACCTTTTTTAAGCCGACCAAGTTGACTTTCCGGGCTCTCCCACAACATACCACAGACAATTTTTTGACAGTTTTTTTTGTTGTCCCGAAGGCAGGGGCGGATCTAGGATTTTCTCGAGGGGAGCGGATTTTTTTAGGTCTACCAAATTGATTTTCTGTGCTCTCCTTAATCACTAAAGACCGCATTTTGACCAAAATTTCTGCGTTTTTAGGAAATTCTGGAAAGTTTGACCGAAAAATCGCGTTTTTTCGGCGCGCGCTCCCCACCCCCCCCCCCCTTAAAATTAGTATATATTGGCGCGAAAGGGTCCGTCACCAAAAAATTTAGGGTCCGTCACCAAAATTGGATATCCAAAAATAGTACAAAGCGGGGCCCCTTTGGGTCGGCAGGGGGTCGAAATCCTGAAAGAAGCGTCCGCCTGAAGCGAATGGTTTCTGATCTGAGAAATTTTGCCTGACCCTCAAGCAAAAACCACGGATCATGGTAGTCCTGGAACACCTGACCTCTTAATTGAGAGGCGAAGAGGTAACGACTTCACAACTGCTTCCCAAAAATGACGTTTGTAGGCACTTACAGGAGAGCTTTGACCAAAAAATAGCGTTTTCACTCCCTTAAAAATAGTATACATATTGGCGGCACAGGCGTTGTTAATTAGTACCAAAATTGGGATTATTTGTGCGGCGAGGGGTTCGAATCCCTGACAAAGGAGCGTCCAGCGTTCTTAGCGAACTCAACCCCCAACCTCCTAATCCACCCCTATTATTTTTAGCGAATTCAAAAGCTTGAAGCAGCCAAATGAATTGACATGGTTTGCGCATTTAGACATCCAAAACTTGATGACTTCATAGGGTCGAGTTAAATACATCTTTTATGTAGCCTAAGTTTAAAGTGGATGTTCTTATTTTTCTATAGTAGGTTTTTATAGAAACCGAATGTAAGTTTTCCGAATCTGAATCTGTGAGTACAATTTTGAAAAATCAAACTGAACAACCTCGGATGAGTTGCTGAGAATCTTGAGCAACTCAAACTTCAACTATGCGTTTCTTTCCTTTATCGTTCAAAGAAAAACATTTTTATTTATGGAGAAGTAAAAGTTTTAGTATTTTTGGACCAAATTATCAATTTATAGTAAAAACGAACGGACAGGTTGCAATGGAATAGAAGTGCGCATGATTCTTGGGAAAAAAAAGGAATTTCATATGACTTCCAATTTTTCTACCGTAGCTGAAGTTTTCTGTGCAAAGTATGTCAGAGTTATACGTCAAGGCAAAAATCAGTTAACAGCCACAGACCCGAAAAATTACAATTTTTGATTTCAACGAGCGAAGAAGCATTTACGTTATTCACGTTTTTGTATTTTTCTGTGCAACAATTCAAGATATAGGGTTGAAAATTTGACACGTGATAAATGAAACTACGTGAAAGGAGCTGGTCTTACCCAATTTTGAGAAATCTTGGTTAGAACGCATGAAATTGCCAGTATACTACAACTACGTTCTTGCTGTGGAAACATCCTCGCAAAGAGTACATATAATTTGAAATTATGGCCTAAATTTGGTACTTTTGAAGGTGATGAGGTAGAGGACGTTTTCATTTTGCCTCAAAAAAATGAAAGACACGAAACATAAAGGGTTTCATGCTCTGGCGTCAAAAAATATCCATATCTATTTTGACTATACAGGCATTAATTAATCTCGGTCGCTTATACTTTTTTGTATATTATGCTTGAAAATTTTTCTGCTGGCTTTTTTTGCGAAAATCAGCTTGAATTCAATCATAAGTCTTTAGCCAGTTTTTTTATGCCGGAGTAAGTCACTCTTTCCGTTGTTTTGTATGTCGTTTTTCCGCCACATAACAAAAAGATCATCAGCTTCTCAAGTAAAAATTTCAACCCATAAATTTGAATCACTTGTGTAATTTTCGAGAAGGTTTTCACAGCAAGAACATATTTGAAACTAGTGCTGATATACTGGCTTTTTTACGACTTCGAAACAGTTTTACTCAATTTGAGAACGGCTAGCTTCCAATAGTTTCATATATCGCGTACAAAATTTCAGCTCAATATCCTAAATAGTTGCAGAGAAAACAACAAAAAAAATGGTTCATTGAAATAAAAAAATGCATTTTGCTTCTCCCGTGAGCTAACCTCCATCCTCAAACACACAAACACATACACGCAAACCCTAACACAATCTCTGAAAAATGGGCGCGGGTTTAGCAGTTATATGGCTACTTGATGTTATAAATTTTGTACTTTTTGAAGTGCCAAAATAATTTAGATAATAATGGATGATAAAATATAAAATTTGATTTGCTGTAATTTCAGTTTGTTTTCAAAAAATGGCTGCGGTTAGAAAATTATGCTTTCTTTTTGTTTTCCAGATAACTCCAGAAATTTATTTTTTAAGAACAACCCCATTTTATACTGCATCAATGCAAGCTCACAAGAGGTAAAATGTGGTATCAAAACTTTCTTTTGGTCGCGGTTTAAATTCTTAATTTTAAAAAAAATTGTCCCCATTTTGAGAAAAAAAGGTCTCAATTTTTTTTGGTTTTTCAGGCTGTTACGTGGAGACTAAATAAAAAATGGCAATTTTAATTCATTTCAGCATTTTTTTATTTTTGTAGCCTTCACCCTATTCAATTGACTTTTCATCTGCAGAACAACGAAAAAAATATATATTTGATTGTGATTTTTTCTAAAATTTGTTTGATATTTCGTTTTTGAAGAAAAAAAAAAACATTTTTTTTCTAAATTACTTGGAGTTATTTTTTGTATTTCAAAAAATTTGAGATGCTTTATTTTTGGAAACAAGAACGCCATTGGAAGGTTGTTTGATTTGCACAGCATCCAGCTATTGATTTTGATTACCTCACAGAAAGCTTGTAGGAATTGAAGGGGGCTACTGTTTTATTGGAAGGACCCAATGATAGAAAATTCCAACCAATCAGAATCATTAGACCATCATGCTTTCTTTTTGTTTTCTTCGCACATAATCGCAGAAATAGCAGAAAAATGAGAGAAAAATAAGTTCTAGCCGTACAATTAAGTTTTTATCAAAGAAACACCAAAAATAGTAAACGTTTCTTTTCTGGGATTTGATTTTTTGCGGCGTTCAATTTTCCGTAATTTTTGAAACTATCAAGAAACTTCTAATCTGAAGTTTCAGTGGCCGGACGATTATGTACATTGTGCAGATTCATAAACTATTGATTTTGACTAACGCAAACAAAGCTTTAAGAGCTTCAAGTGTGATATAATTTTAATTTCTATGCGTTATTCAATTTCCAAAAGAAGTAATAAAAACTATGTGAAAAAGGAACGTACCCGCATCCAAGTTTAGGCGTAAATAATCGATTATAACGGATTATTATGATGATTTTTTGACAATTATAATCGATTATAATTACCAAAATTAGGTCCTTAAGGGATTTATAATTGATTATAATCGTGATATTTTCCAAGAGATTATAATCGATTATAATTGATTATATTTCTTACTAAAAACCCTTAGAATCAATTATAATCGATTATAATCGATTATAATCTCTTATTTTGCCGAAATGTTCCTATTTTCGAATTGTATCTTGTGGGTTTTTATTTTTGTGTCAATAAGAAAATCTCTAAAAGAGAGATCTTTTGAACACTATGGTTCATCTGAACACAAAGTTTTACCACGAAACGAAAGTTTCACAGAGATCCTTTCATATGACTGGAAAGGTTCTCGCGGTAGATGAAAGATAATTTTTCCGAATCAATCATGAAACTAAATCAATTTGCTGGTATTTTGGTGTTTATAAAAGCTTAAAATATGCATCACAAAACTACTCTAATGGGGAAGAAATGGAAAAAAAACTTATAAATATGAATGAATTGGAAAATTTTGAAAAATTTTCTCTCATTTTTCATAGGAACCAACGTCCACAAAAAGCATAAAATATAAGCAATTTAGATGCAACTTCGAAGACAAAAATGGACAAACAAAAGGGATTATAATCAATTATAATCGATTATAATGGATTTTTATGCAAAACTAACGAAATAGAATTTTGAATAAAAATAATGGATTATAATCAATTATAATGGATTTTAATAAATTATAATCGATTATAATTGTATCAAAAAATAGACGAATAAATAATCGATTATAATGGATTATAATTAATTATAATTTGATCTGAAAAAAAAGAGATTATAATCGATTATTAATTGATTAAAATTGATTGTTTCTCAATTTTAATGAGACTGGTACTAAAATCGTAATATAATCGATTATTAACGCTTGAAACTGGATGCGGGTAATGCAAAAAATAAGTCTGAACTATTTCACTTTTAAGAACAGTTTACATAAAGACTAAGCACAATTTAATAAAGAGTAAAAAACAATGCGTTTTAAGTAATTTAGCAATTATTGATCCGTCCGTTACAACTAAAAAACACCAAATTAGGAAGGATTAGTTTTTTTTACAAAAAAGGTTCTTGGTTTTTCTGTCTTTTGTTTTAGATATTAATTTTTTAAAACTTATTTCTTTGTTCGCAATGACACTGGATCAAAAAACGGAAAAGCCCCTTCGAAACAGTGCACAACAGCCAGAAATAACTGCTCTAAATCTTATTTCCGTTTTGAAATGATCAAAATTTTTCTGTATTAAATATAACAATTATAATTATATCATTAAGAGGAACAGTTCTAATAAACTAAATATAGTGTCATCTTGTCCCAGAGGGTGAGTTCTTTGGGTTTCACAATCGGCTGTAGTGTAGTTGTGACGTAGAAATGGTACAACTTGGACACTCCGAACAGACAGGCGAATCCGACAAAGTTGAGAGCGACGCCCAGAAGAATTTTGCCTAAATAAAATAATAAACAAACAGTTAATCCCGTTCATCTTCAATTTTTCCTCAATTGTTCTTTTATGATTAGAAAATGATAACAGAAAAAATGGCAATCTTCCTACAGAAGCAGGACCGGATTTAGTGAGGGGGGAGGGGGGGGGGGAATCCTAGATTTCGGATTTTCCCAAATTTTTTGAAAATCCGTCCCCCCTCGAGAAAATCCTCGATAAACCGTGTACAAAAGTACAAGAATTTAAATTATTGAGTTCACTAGACGCGCACGTCCTCTGTTGGCTTTTTCTACCGAGGTTCTCTGTTTTTTTTTTTTTTTTCATTTATCTCGACAAATATGGGCATGTTTTGACCGTGCTCGAGTTGTTACGACATTTGCCCCAACTTGGATATGTTTTGACCAAACTTCGGATCTTGACCAATTTCGGATCTGTTTCGAACCTACCCCTTCAAAGCAAAACCCTGATTCGACTATGGATTTTTTTGCGCCAGACCCTACTTTCATTTTTCTAACTTGGCTTTTCTTCTTTTGAGGATATTGAGGTCATCCATTTCGCCGTAGGCGGTCCCATTTTGAAGACCCTTCCAAACCCTCGATCTCCGTTTAAAATTCCCCGTGTTACTCGTCCATGAGCGGAAGTGGCCACGGTTGGATGGGCCACCACGGTTCGAATCTTACCGGGATCACGTTTGCATGGGCGGTCCTCAAAATGGTACCGCCTACTGCAAAATGGACGACCTCGATATGCCCCAAAATGGATACCCTCGATTTTATCGAAGTCGTGGACAACGTGTTCTCAAATATAAAATGAGCGCATCGATACTGCTATCACTAACCAGCTAGTGTGAGTTTGTGCATGAAAGGGTAGGGCCATAAACTCCTCCGCAGTCCCAGGTAGAACACTACACAGGTGTAGCTGAGGGCCCACCCACAGTACAGATGGATTTTTCTCCAGTTCACCACCGCACCCACCAGGGATACGTCTGCTAAGCCACAACAAGGGGTAACACGCGGAGTTAGGTTCAAGAACAGGTTTGTAGGAAAAAAGTAAAAAGTGTTTGCTCTTCCCCCCCCCCCTCCCCGACCTCACATAAGCATCGATTTCATGGTGTAACGAGTGGTTTTACAAGGTTAAGAATAAAGACGAAATATGTTTGTCATGGCCTTAATAGTGACCATGTCATTTTTTATAACAATCCAACAATGCGAACAGAAAATTTACTCTAAAAAACTTGCAGGTGGGGGGAAAGGAAAAAGAGCCAAGATTTTAAAAACACAATAACAATAGATTAGGTTTGAATAATAAACACCCGGCTTCCCGAGTAAATAAAGATATTTAGCATATGTTCCATTTCTACTTCGACACACCTCGCTTTTTATTTTTTTCTGTTTTAAACTTAAATTAAAAAATTATGAGCTAAAAAATGTGCGTGTTAAAAATTTTGAGATGTGTTGTAGGACAATTTTTGTCTTCAGAGACAAAGTTTTCCATAGCCAGTAAGCAATTTATTCAAACAACTTCTTTCAAACTTCAACTTTTATCTGCTTGAAAACAAACTAGTTTGAATTAAATCCTATGTCATTTCATTATTAAAAACAAGACAACGTGTGACTGTAATTTGCAGAAGCTGATCTAAGATTTTCCAAAAACAATCCAAAATTTTGTCGTCTTTTTAGAGTGACCATATTGATTTTCCAAGCGCTCCCAGATCAATCCAAAGACCCTGTTTAACAGAATTTTCAGCGCCGCATGTAATTTTTTGAAGAAAAAACAACAGGTAAAATGCCGTTTTATGTATTTTCGAAATTTTTTGACCAAAAATATTGCGTTTATCGGCGCGTACTCCCCCTTTAAAAAGTATGTATTGGCGCCAAAGGGATAAACGTATCTCACGAAATAATAGTAAAGGGGGACCCTTTTGTCGGTGAGGGACGGTGCCCCATATTTTGACATCTCTTGTGACCGTATTTTTACATATTAAAAAAAGCAAGCAAGAGGTTGAGAAACACAACCGTTTTTCGCTGTAGCATTCTAAATCACTGTTTACTCCAAACTTATAAATATTTATCAGGATGAAGATTATTTTCCTGGTGAGGTTTTGTTTTTGATGTTTCTTAAGAGTTTTTTGTTTTCTATAGAGTTTTAATTAAGCTAAGACACTTCTGTCGCACCTCTGAAGAACTCCTGGATGTGAAGGGATTCCACTCTGGCAGAGGCAGACCCGAGCCATGTCTCCAGAATGGGCAGAAACAGCACCAGAGTATGTGTCCCATGGCTGTACCTTCAATCATATCACCTTTCAGTCCTTATATACTGCAAAATCAAGTTGAAATTGTATTCCTGTTTGTCATTCACAAGAACAGACATTTTTAGAATATTGTTTGTCCGTATTTGGTTTTAGAATCTTCGGTCTTTGATTTTTTGGTGTTTACGAATTTCGTACAATGAACTGAACAGTCTAGATGTTTTGTGTATTTGTGGGGTAATCAACCCACAGATCAATTTTCATCACAATTGGACATTGTGAACAAAGTTAGTATAATAAAATTTGAGGCGGAGGGGCGGAGGTAAAAAAGCCGAGACATTCTCGCAAGTAATATACATGCAAAACGAAATTAGAGAAATTTATTTCATAACGATCTGCTTCTCACCAGAAGGGACACTTTCCGATGTACTTGTAGAACCCCTCTGATCTCACCATCTTCGGGTCAACAGAAGACATGGACCAGAAGCCAAGACATACCTTAAGAAGAACAAACAATTCTAGATGAACATGTTTAGAGCTCATGACAAAACAAGTCCAGAGGTCATAAAGATTTTTCTTCACTATTTTGGAAGCAGAAAAAACTCCCGAGGACAAAGTGATCAAAAATTTATCTTTCTTTGAAGAACTTGATTTGAAGGCCTTGCCAGATTATTCCCAGTCCAAGAAAGCCAGTTTTTACAACTGCAGTTAGTTTTTCAGCTCAACTGAAATAAGTTTCACGAATGAGCAAAGAAACAAAAGATAACCATGTGTGAAACGTTCGCAGCGTACCCGCACCGAGCGCCCATTCCGCACCGAGCGCCCATGGATCATAATCGATTATATTGTCATAATATGGTCAGCATCTATAAAATGACAAAATAATCGATTATAATCCTTTAAAAATGGATTATAATCCTAATAATTTTTATCCCAATAAAATCCATTATAATCGTTTATAATCGATTATAATGGAATTTTTCGAGGAGTTATTCATGAAATTTACAATTTTGTTCAAAGTTATCCTATTTCCTGTTTTGTGTAAAAGCTACGTGTTATGTTTCATAAAATGTTACATTTAAGAAAAAAATTGATGTATTTTTTGTCTCTACTTTTTCTAATTCATCGCAATTTAACACTTCGTTTTACCCCCCTTCCTCCAGCCAACCCTATCCCCTCACTTTACCCCCTCCCACCATTTACCCCCCCCCCTCCAGTTTATCCTGTCATTTTAGTTGGGAGAGGGGGTAAGAAAGCTGGAGGGAACGACGGGATGACCAGTTTAACCCCTCTCCCCCGGCTTATTTACCCCCCCCCCCCCCCCGGCCTATTCCCCCCCCCCCCCAGTTTACTTCCCTCTCCCCTCAGTTTATACCCCCCAGTTTACACCCCTCCCCCCAGTTTACCCTGCCCCTTTAGTTGGGGAGGGGGGTTTAAAAAGCTTGAGGGGCGAGTGGACGCAGTTGAGACATGGCATTTAGTAAAAGACAGGGCATGAATTCTGCAAACTTCTCGCAAAATTTGCAAAATTTTGCAAAAATAATCGAATTTAGTTCTAAAAATAAAATGGGTTATAATCAGTTATAATAGATTATAATGGATTTTCATTTTAAAATAATCGATTATATTGGATTATCTTGGCAAAAATAATCGATTTTAGTGACAAAAATATTGGATTATAATCGATTATAATGGATTATAATGGATTACATTTGTTCAAAAATAATCGATTATAATGGCTATATAATCGATTTCGTGGTCTGAATTTTACAACCGTAATGGGTTATAATCGATTATTTTTGTCTCGGGAGTCCATTATAAACAATTAGAATCCATGGGCGCTCGTTGCGGGATGGATTCTAATCAATTATAATGGATTCCCGAGACAAAAATAATCGATTATAATCCATTATGAATGTAAAATTCAGACCACGAAATTGATTATATTGACATTATAATCGATTATTTTTGAAAAAAAATAATCCATTATAATCCGTTATAATAGATTATAATCCAGTATTTTAGTCACTGGAATCGATTATTTTTGCCAAGATAATCCATTATAATCGATTATTTTTGAAATAAGAATCAATTTCATTTTTAGAACTAAATTAGATTATTTTTTGCTAAATTAGATTATTTTTGCAGAGTGTATGCCATATCTTTTACTAAGTGCCATATCTCCACGACATCCCTACGCCCCCTAAATTTTTTTTTAGCCCCCCACCCCGGTGGGGTAAACCAAGGAGGGGGGATAAGCTGGGGGCGGGGATAAGCTTGGGGGGAGGGATAAGCTTGGGGGGGAGGGAATAAGCTGGGGAGGGGGAAATAAGCTGGGGGGAGGTGTGTAAATTGAGGGGGTGTAAACTGGGGAACTGGGGAGCTTAACTGGGAGGGGGTGGGGTGGTAAACTGGGGGGGGGGGGGGGGTGTTCATTGTGGTAAAAAATAATAAAAAAAGTAAATTGAAGTGTTAAACTGCGATGAATCAAAAAAGTAGAGACAAAAAATGTATACATTTTTTTCTAAACTGTAAGATTTTATGAAACGTAATACGTAGCAGCTGCATTAAACAGAAAATGAGATAACTTTGAACAAAATTGTAAATTTTATGAATAACTCCTCGAAAAAATCCATTATAATGGATTATAATCGATTATAATGGATTTTATTGGCATAAAAAATATTAGAATTATAATCCATTTTTAATGGATTATAATCGATTATTTTGTCATTTTATAGATGCTGACCATATTATGACAATAGAATTGATTATGATCCATGGGCGCTCGGTGCGGGTAAGTATTTACTGTTCTTTGTGATATATATATGCTAAACTCGACTGTTTCCTTAAATATCACACCGTTGCGAAAGTTTAGTGCAGATGGTAAAAACAATGGTACCGGAATATAAGCTGATGCGACTTCGAAACCAAATAAAAACATTTGCTTAGAGGGTCTCAAAGAAAAATTATTGTCAGTTTATGCACAATTTTTCTTCAGTTGCTATATTCAAAACTGTTCTAGAACTAGGGATTGTTTTATTGTATTTATTAAATTCTGTTCCAGCAAAAATCAAAGCTGGAAATTTAACAAAATGAGCCAGCCGTGAAAGCATATTGGGTTAATCTTTCACCTACCACCACACTACATGGGAGTATGATTCCGAATGCAAGGTCATGGAGATAGATGGAGAGCCACTCTATCTGCAGATGGTCATTTGCAGTACACAACAGCCAGTAGAACGTCAACACGCCATAGTTCCAGTTCGTGAACTTGTTCAGTTTGTCTGGAAAAGAAATAAGACAGATTCATATTCAAGCATATCAATAGATCAGTTGGAGGAATTTCACCTGATAACACTTTTGGACTGATTCAATCTTATAGTTCAAAAAAGCGATTTTCTACCAGGCTTTCAATCCTCCCTACCCCCACCATCATAACGCGCCGTGGCGAAGGTTAAGGTCACGGCGAAGATTAGGTTGACGAGACAAGAGAACACTAGTATTCAGCTCATCGTCTGGAGAGTTGTGCCTTTTTGCGCAGGCGGATTTGCACATATGTTCGTCGAATCTTTCCTTGATATGTAACAACGTAATGCTCATGCGATGCTGTGTTAACAAAAACGATATAAAGCCGACGCGGCTCTTTTTCCTTGCCCCCCCCCCCACCACCTCACACAAGTATAGATTTCATGGTTTAGCGAGTGGTTTTACAAGGTTGAGTATGAAGACAAAATATGTTTGTCATGGCCTTAATAGTGAGCATGTCATTTTTTATAACAATCCGACAGAAAATTTACTCTAAAAAACTTGCAGGTGGGGGAAAGGAAAAAGAGCCGACGACGCTTCAAGCAGATAACTGCAGTTGTGGAGCCTGCTCCGTGGCAGAGACTTGTGTCAATGGATAGACAAGCTCTAAAGACATCGTAAGTGTGTTGCTTGTATTTTGAGCTTTGGTCAAAGAATACATCGACGTATCCGCATGATGTAAGAATTGTTAAAAATAAGAAAGAAGTCGTACAAAGTTATGGCTGTCTAAGGATATCGGGCGTTGAAATTAAAAGTCCTAGGTGTGAGTCGACGGATATGGCCAGTAGGCCAGTTAAGATATTAACCTTAACTTTTCTAAAAATGCTTTAATCAAAATAAACTAAATTTGAAGGGTAGCGCGCCGAAAAAACGTAATTTTCCAATAGAAATCCCAAAAACTGCAATTTTCAAAAACTATCTCAAAAATGCGTTTTCAAAAAATGTATTAACAGACTTAAGTTAAGCCCCTAAAGACTTTTTTTAAACGCAATAAAGACTTTTTAAACGCAAATTCAGATTTCGAACTTCAGGATAATCGTATGGGCTAAAAACTAAACCGAAGCTATGATATTTTGTCAACTCGTTTCAACAAGTTACCAACAGACATTAAGCAATTTTGAAAGAAAGGGTGATCTAAGTAAGAGATAATGGTTTCTTAGAGAAATTATTGACAAAAAAATTGAAAAAAAATGCTTATCATACAAATTTCATCCGTGAAAATTGTATGATACGCTTTTTTCCATCCATTTTTTTTCACTTGCACATGACCAGAAAGCTTTTTCATTTGCACATGACTTAGATTACCCGGATTTGCAGAGCAAGCCAACCTCACCTCCACGTGTTGCCCCCTGGATAAGCAGCGCAGGCTACTGAACTAACTAGGCTCTGGCGCGGTCCTCGACCTATAAAGCCGAGGTTTGGGGCTAGCGACCCCTGTTGAACTCAGCTACGAAAGCATGAGAACACAAAACAAGGATTATTCAAAAGCTACGCGCCCAGCGGTAACTTGGACACCTGGCACTGCCGCACCAGGTGACCAAGCGAAGACGGCAAAACCATTCCAACCTCCCCCAACCCCATCACCCCTGCGAAACCCCCCCCGTATGGTGTCCTATCCGAAGACCTCAGTTCCCAAAAGATCGATATTGCCTGTATTCAGGAGACCTGCATCACTGGAGACACAAAACAAAACCTACACAACACACGTGACGAAGCCGACTGGATTCTAAGCCTACAAAGTCTTGGCCCGCATGCTTGCCACTCCATGATGTGTCCGATTAGCTTCGACTCTACTGCTCAGGACACAAAGAGAACAAAGGACTGCATGGTGTCGCAGTGACAGTACGGTCGAAGCTAATCGGACACACCATGGAGTGGCAAGCATGCGGGCCAAGACTTTGTAGGCTTAGAATCCACGCAAAACCAGTATCGCTCACAATCATGAGGACAGCGACGAGGAGGAAAAAACCGGTTCTACGTGTCTCTCTACGATCTTCTTCTCAACGCCCCACGGAAGGACGTCCTACTGATCGGAGGCGACTTCAACGCCAAAATCGGCCAGCCGGCTGATGGAGAAGGAAAGAACATCAGGCGCTTCTCAATTGGACAATGGGACTCAAATGAAGAAAGACTTGCTAACTTCTCCCTGCTGAACAACCTCGTAGTCAGCAGCACGACGTTCCGCAAAAAGAGACATACGCTCCACACTTGGACTTTAAACGAGCAAAAAACGAGGAACCAGGTTGATCACATTGTCAACTCAAGACGATGGCGCTCCTCCATAACAAACATCGACAACATCCCAAAGCTCAAGTCCGACAGCGACCACAGACCAGTAGTCTCCACCATACAGCTGAAACTGAAGTCCTACACAAAACAGCTACGCGTCGTCAAGTATGACATCGCCAACCTCCGCGAGGACAAAGTCTCCAACGCATACAAAATGAAGCTCCATGAGCTGTTTGACAAGGCGGAAGCTAAGGGGAACGTGGACGCGATGTGGACGCAAATGAAGGACAACATACACTCAGCGGCAGCAAAAAACATAGGATCCGCAAAACGCAAGAAAAACCCGTGGATCAGCACCGAGACCCTCCAGATGATCGAAAAGAGAGCCCGTGCCCGCAAAGGCTCTACAAAAGGCTTCCTACGACGAGAAGTCAAGAAATCTGTCCGAAAGGACAGAAAGGCGTTCTACGACGGATTGGCTGAACAGATGACCCACGCGGATAACACCGGTGATACAAGAAAGGTGCACTCAATTGCTAAGCAACTTTCCAGTAAATCCAGTGGGCTCAGCGACAATATCAAAGACTCACAGGGGCAGCTCGTGACGGACGCTAACGAGAGGATAGAAACCGGGGTAATGCACTTCGAATAACTGCTCATCACACCCGCACCAGCGTAAACTCACATGAGCACGGTTAAACCCTTCTCTAGCGTAGACACGGCAGAGCCCTCCAAGCAAGAAATCCGCGATGCAATAGACAAACTGAAAGCAAACAAAGCCGGAGGAATTGACAATATCCCCCCAGAACTTTTGAAGAAGGAGGACCCCCACTGCTCGAGAAGCTCACCGAACTGATAAAGGCCATCTGGACTACGCACGACATCCCAGCAGAGTGGAAAACAGCTATGATCACGCCCATCTTCAAAAAAAGCGACCGAGCTAACTGTTCTAACTACAGGGAAATTTCGCTACTCTTGATTGCATTCAAAGTTTCGAAGCAGTAGTTAAGAACAGACTCGAACCGGCCTACGAGTCTCAGGCCAGGTTAAACCAAGCCGGCTTCAAGAAGAAAAGAGGTTGCAGGGACCAAATCTTCGCCATCAGACATATCGTAGAACGGCGAGTGGAATTCAAAGGCTGCACCAACCTCATCTTCAGTGATTTCAAACCCGCCTACGATAGCGTAGATTGGAACTGCAATTGGCGAGTATGCTCAAACCTTGGCCTCCCTGAGAACCTATTTGAACTCTTCAGAGCCTTGTATTCAGAGACTTATAGCCAAGTCCGCGCTTACAACTCCCTTTCCAAAAGTTTCAAAAAACATAAAGGAGTCAGACAAGGCTCGATTCTACCCCCTTTCTTTCCTTTTAAACCTCACTATAGACTGGATCTTGAACAAAACGCTGAAAATGGAAGACTCGGAATAGCGCTAGACGACACGTCAGTCGCAGATCTCGATTTTGCAGACGATATCTGCCGCCTTGAGGATAACCGCCCAGACGCGCAAAGACTGCTAACAACAATCACCGAGAAGGCAGCACTCATTGGGCTCCAGATTAACGTCGGCAAGACAAAGTTTTGTTCACAAGACCCATTCTAGACGTTTCAAGTCGACGGCGAGGACATCGAATTAGTGGAGAAAATCGAGTATCTTGGCAGCAAAATTCAACTTGATCAACTTGATGGAAACATCTCCCCGGAGATTAAATCAAGGGTTGGGAAAGAAGCTGACAGCTTCAAAAACATGAAGAACGTCTGGAACGCCAAGAAGATCCCACAAACCACTAAAAAAAACCTGTACATGGCCTGCGTACGGAGCGTCCTACTCTACGGTTGCGAAAGCTGGCCAACCAAACAGTCGGATCTGAAATTCATCCAGGCATTCGAGGACAGATGCCTACGAGACATCTTGCACAGAAGAACGACTACTACCCCACGGTTGAACTGTTGAACACAGCTAGGCTGACACCCCTGACCAAAACTATACAAGGCCGAAGGTTGAAGGGGCTGGGGCGTGTGCTCCGCATGTACCAAAGAGAAATCCCCAATGCAGCTTTAGAATTCGAGCAAGCAGACAACTGGCGAAGGCCACCCCGGCGGTGTGAAGCAGACTTGGCGAAAGATCATCCGAGACAAACTCTCAAAGCACATCAAACCCCCCCGCATGACACACAAGAAGTGGGAAAAGGAATGGTTCGAAATCAGCAAAGAAGCCGCGAGCGACAAAGGCCAATGGAGGGACATCTTGGCGGGCAATGGGCAATGTTTCCTGCAAAAGCCCCACTTGGACATGGACTTGACCAGAAAGCTTCAAATGAGCCATAATCTGCCTTAAAACTCTTTAAAAAGGTTTTTAAATTTTTAAGAAAATTGCATTATTCGAATTTTTTCCATAGACGCCATGTTTGAAATTGTATGATATGGGTTTTCCTTCTATGGACCTCAACCCGGGTGTCTCACTTAATAGCTAAACATTAAAATTTCAAGTTTGAAAAGTAATTTTCACTTGCAAAAAAAACTTTGCATGGTGAAAAAACAAAATTTTTTTCTTACATCGTAATATCACTCATTTAGTTCTTATAGCATGTGAGACACCCAAGTTGAGGTCCAAAGAAGGACAACCCTTATATATTTTCATAAATAGCGTCTAGCGGCTATGGAAAAAATTCTAATCATGCTATTTTCCTAAGAACCTTAAAAATTAAAAACTGTTTTAAAGTTTTTTAATGAATATTATGGCTCATTCGAAGCTCTCTGGTCATGTGAAAATCAAAAAAAAACTAGATGAAAAAAACGTATCATACAATTTTCATGGATGAAAATTATATCATAAGCTTTTTGTTTAATTTTTTTTTCAAAAATCTCTCTCAAAACATTCTGTCCTACAAATGAGGTTAAAGAAGGTACAAAAAGTTGGCTTTTTCCCAGTTTCCCCCTTAAAAATATCGAGTTTTATGTTTGATTTACGTGTAATTGCGGCTAAATGCGTGATGCTACGCTGTAAAGTATAAAGAACAAATCTGTTCAGAATTGTCGATTTGTTCACCGCGCCAAATTTGATTGCATTATGACAACGTTAAATAGACTTTTCAAAATTGAATTTGAAAGGGGAGAACTGGAAAAGAGCCAACAATTTTAATCCCTTTTTTGGTTGCAGACTTGCTTTTAATCTCAAATATCCCTTACGAAAAAAAATTGTGCTTGCAAAATTTGACTTTTTGTTTTTTGTGTTTATAACGTAGTCCCGGATGCATTTTTTACCCAAAAAATCCAAAAATCACAAAAAAGTGTCTTTTTTTTGTAAACAGTTATGATTTTTGTTTTTGGTTTCATATGCTAAGATAGAGATAAATTTGTAAAAAGAAAACAGGCTTTTTTATCTTAACCACCAAAAATTACTAACTAAAAATTTTATTTAGACTTACATTTTTGGTATATAACTCCATGTCAAAATGTTAAAATTAACTTACATGGCTAAAATCACCAAACGCAGTTTATCTGCGTGGTAACTGCTGCCAGTTACACTCTGGTTTCAGATGAAACACAAAAATTCAAAACGAAAAGCTTTTGTATTTTTGTTTATGGAAAAAATGCTTATCATACACTTTCATAGTATGGAAAAAATGCTGATCGTACAATTCCATAGAACAAAAAATTGCTTTTGCTATTTTATTAAAATTTTTGTGATAAAAAGAATGACGAATGCTTATCATTAATTCCAGAAAGTGGCAAAAAAAGCTTCCATAATATTTTATAGTATGGAAAAATACTTTTTTTTGTATATGAAATAGTATGATAAGCTTTTTTTCATAAAATTAAGTAGTATGGTAAACATTTCATGTCAACCCGGACAACTGTGAAAATGCAAAAACTTGAAATGTCGGGGACAGCGGAAAAAGAGCCACAAGTTTAAAAATTGTAGTCACAAATTAATGAATATTATAATTCTAAGCATAGTATGGAGCAGTCATGTTTCCTAACTATTGCCAGAAAAGTTCTTTTGCTGACTTATTTTGATCATTATCTCAAACATTGTATCCCCATGAGACTGTAGTTTTAATCACTGAGATGGTAAATCTATTGATTGTGGTCATTAAAAATTAGTCAAACTAATCAGTTTTGCAATGAAACTAAATTGAGCTCATCAATTCGAACTAGTAGCATTGGTTGCGAGCATATTTCCGAACCAAAAAACTAGTCTAAAACTATTTATGATATACTTAATATTTAACACCCTCAAAATAAGACTTCTCAGGTTTTGATCCAGCAAGCTCCTTACAAATGTTTGTAACGTAAATGTTTATTTTCAAAAAAGTTGCATAAAAAACGACAAAACAAAAACACTTAGAAAAAGCACGTTCATTTGCTCGTTGAAATCAAAAAGTTGCAGCTTGTATATCCCGCGACTCTATAATTTTGTAAGTTGAAATTGGAAAAATAACAGGGCGATAGGAATTGAAAATGAGCCAATCTTGTGAACATACCTACCTACTATGGGTCTGTCGGGCCAAGTGAGTTTAGTCCAGTCGAAGTACATGAGGTACAAGTAGAACACCGAACACGACAGGTGCAGCAGTTTATTCAGGTCCTGCTTCATACCCTCCGAGTCTATATATGACCCATCCAGAGAGGCCATAGAAGTCCATAATGCAGATGCTGACATATTAGAATGAGAAGTCTATAGAAAAGGTCGTTCAGTTTTTTCTGTTGCGCATAATTCTTTTTCACATTGTTTTTGCAATGAAATTTTTTCCAAAGAGCCAATTGAGCTGCAATAACAAAAAAATGACAATGTAAAACTCAAGACTGGGAACTGATTGCACTTAAGATGAAAATAAATTCATTGCAAAATAAATTTATAAGGGAGCAAAGAGGATCAACCCAAATGCTTCTTAACGCTATGTTTCAAACAAGTGGAGACCCTCAAAATACCAAAATCACTGTTTGCGGGTTATATAATTGATACCAGACAGAGGGGTTTTTTGACATAGAAAAAACGCTTTTTAAAAAAAAAATTCCAGCTTTAAGGAGGCAGAATGGCGTTTCCGAGTCTAACTTACGGTTGAAAAAAAAACTGAACAAGCTTGCCTGTATTGATTGATATTTTTGGTGTTTTCGATTTTTGTTCATTAATATTTCTAACCTTGGTTACGCAATCATGGTAACAAACACGTGCTAATTAGTTGTGGCTTTAAAAAATGATATACCAACGGAAAAAAATTGAAATGTTGGAGTATAATGAGTGATCAAAAGTGTAAATCTATAAAAGTGCGACTGGTTGCTATGCAAGTGGCATAGAAAGTTCCGACCACATTCACTAAAAAAAATATATATAAAAATGAACTCTTTTGGTTTTTTGTGCGCGGTGTGAATGGGAGAAACAAAAGCTTACAACTCATCAACATAGCCATTATCATATACAGATGGCTTCAAAAAATGAAAAACAATACAAAAAGTTCTTTCGTTTATCAATTTTGTTTGTTTCCGAAAACTTGTTATTAAAAAAGGACCGTGGATATTTTCTACTCCCCCCCCCCCCCCCTCACATTTGAATTAAGTTTTAAGAAAGTAATTTTTCGTTGTATTTAATATAATTTTTTAAGTTGAAAAATCTGGCTATTGAGAAAACATACCTTCATACTTTAATTTCAACATCATTCATTCAGCCATAATTTTAAGGTCAGTCAGCCAAAAATGGATATCTCAGAGGGGTTTTGGGTCGGACCCTTTGGGTCGGCAGGGGGTCGAATCCTTGAGGGAAGCGTCCATTCCAGCCACCCCCCACCCTTAAATCCCTACTGATAACACGTAAGACAACTGGTAAAATCGAGAACTTGAAATATGGGAAGAGCGGGTGGATAAGCGCCAGAGTCGCTAAATCAAGCTTTTCACAGCTATCAAGAACAATTTCAACTCTACAAACGCTAACCGCTCAATCTGCTTGAAATTACACCAAAAAGCAAAACTTCAAACTGGTGTTTCTGAGTACTGAATAAATTTTTTGAAATTTATTGAGTAATCTTCGAATACCGAAATAAAGTTTATAAGAAGCGGAGAAATCAGCAGAAATTTCTAAGAGCAGAAAATCTCTTAGAAAAATAGAACAGTAAAGAATTGTTTTTTTAGCCCTATTGGTGAAACAAGTTTTAAAATTGTCAAAGTTATTAACGAAAAACTATTTAGAAATGAAAAAAAAATATATATAAATTGAGTATTTTATTAGATGAAATTAATAAAAATAAAAAAAAGAACTCGATGAATTTCCCAACTAGTTTTTGACTTATAAATTCATTGGCATTTCTGACTATTATAAAACTTCTTTCATCGATTAGCCCGTTTAATACAAAATTCTTCTAATATGGCAACCATCCCAACTCAAATTGGGTTGATCAAAATCCTGGCGATTCTGAAAAAAAAATTATAGTAACTTTGCTGACCGACAAAACACAAAAATTAGCGTGACCGAGAACATATATCGCAATTTTTCGAAATCAAAAAGTTTTTGCGCAACTTTGCGCGACCTGAAACTTTGAAGCTTTTCGCGACCGAAAAACCTGCATTCCGTTTTAAGCAATACTATTTGTGCCACTTGTTGTTTTG